ACATAAGCTCAAATATCTAAAAGTAGAGCTTTATCAAAATGCAGCTCAACTAGTGAAATTGAGTTTAAGAAAATATCTCAAAGTGATTAAGGATTATATTTTTTCATCATTTTAAGTTATTTGTGCAAGCACAATTTATTTCATATTCTAATAACAGTCATTTTTTAAAGTCTTAAAAAGTCTTTTGATATAAAGATTTGGGGTGTGGGGGGGTACCAGGATTGAACTCCGGATGTTTTGCTTGAGAGGAAGGTGGTGGATCCACTGAACTAAATCGCTGGCCTCCCTTTCGTTTTTGTTCTTTTTTTTGGTACCAGGGATCAAACTCGGGTCCTTGTGCTTGCAACAGCCTCCCTTTTGATATAAAAATTTAATAGCTCTAAGTTACCTGGTCTGTTTTTTTAAATTTATACATATATTTATTGGTACATATTAGGTATAAAATCCATTTACATTTATCATTGGGTGTTTGTACCAGAACATGATGTATCTTAGTTTTTATTTTTTCTCCCATTACCTGTGCATCCTTTACCAACTGGTCTATTAATGAGTTTCTTTATGCTGCCTAATGCTAATAGTTTTAAGAGACAGTAAAAGGCTGGCTTGCTTCTCTATAATAAGTAAAGTGCTATTATTTTTCTATCTAGTCTTTGTTTAAATTAAGTACTTAAAATGAGTTTTTATTTTGAAATCTCTTTGCTTTTACTAAAAGTCCTTATAAGTTCAAAAGCAATGATTGTGGGTGCTTCCAACCTCAAATATGTTATATATGTGTGTTCTTTTTTAGATATCTAGTGCTTACATCAATATATGACAGTTTGAGACACAAATATGATCTAATAACAATTTTCAAACACCAATGATCCAGTGGCATAATTTTATAATATAAAAGTTCTGTTTCTGTTATAAATTGATCATATTTGTTAACAGTATAATCTTTGAATAAAATGTTTCCAGAGACAGTTTGCTGTTTAAATATTTTTAAAAATTGTAATACACAAAAACAATGTCAAAATCTGTTTAAAAGAATAAAGCTTAAGATAGAGATCTGTTCTTAATAAAATTTAGAGCAAAACCATTTTTAAAGGCTACAGATTTGTTAAAATAATTTCTTGTGTTCTCTACTGTTTTGTTAAAATTAAATGCTTAAATAAATAAGTCTTTAAAAGTTCATTTTCCTTAAATATTATGCAGGGCACCTCCTCCTTTTTCTGCAAGTCAGTTGATAATAACTGCTTATTTTCTGTCATACAGGAGGAACATGAAACTAAAATTTAGCTGCCTACTTTTATTCAGCTACCTCACAAATAAGCTCAAATGATAGTTAAACACTAACTCCAAACTTTGGAGAGTTGAGATAGTAGACATTGTTTGTTATCTTTAGTAGGTTCAACTATTTCATCTGAAAATGTTGAATTTTTCTCTTAAATATTCTTAGAACTTTCCCTCTAATTTTGCTAGACTGGTTTCCAGAAGAACTCCTCATGTGAAAGTTAAATGTGAGAACTATATTCTATTGTATCATACAAATTTTTTCCTAGCTGCATACACCAATGATAGTCAGTTTGCTAAATAAATGGCACTGAAGAAAATCCTGACCTGAGTGGCACTACATGTCCAAATGTTTCTGACCAAAGAAAATTAGACAACAGTACTTATAGATATCTGACATGAAACTGTACATTTTACAGGCCAAATACATAGTCTAGGGCTTTATAAAATAAGTTAAAGCATTATTAACTCTAAAAATATCATGTACAAGATAAAGTCCCCTTTTAGTACTTGTGATAGCATTTCAGGTGGAAACAGACATATATACAAAAAACAACCCAGATTCTCTGCTGTTAAGCATATAATTCAAAGAAATTTCAGAGTACTGAGAAAATTTTAGTTCATTTATGAATGATGTAAAATGTTGATTTGTGGGATTTAAAATGTTTCCTTTAAAAAAAGTGTACCCAGAATACATAACCTCTGTACAGAGAAAAATATAAAAGTTCTGTATGACCATGTTTGATTAAACTACATAATTTAGAATGGAAAATCACTAGGTGAACATTTTTCTATCTTACTCATTCCCCTGAAAGCACTGATTTGTGAGCTATCATTAATATTTAGTTGGGCTGCATTTATGGAACAAGATCTTATTTTCAAAATGGCATAAATTTTCCTTTAAGGACTCTATTTTTAGCAGCCATTCTATCTCTAAAGGTTAACAATTTACAGAGCAAATGTTTTAATTACTGTATACTTTTTCTACTTGGTACTCTCCATTTATAATATTTGCAAAAGGGTAATGTCTATGAAAAAATTGTTTCACTCTCCCAACCCATCTTAGTCAAAAGTGTTTCCTCCTCTCATCTTTGACCTAATTGGGGAAGTGTGGAAGACACCAATCCTGCAGTGACTGGTAAACAAGGAGTTTAAACCAATAGTGGTGCCACATACCTGTAATCCCAGCTCTTAGGAGGCTGAGGCAGGAGGACAACCATAAGTTCAAGGCCAGCTGAGACTACATAGTGAGTTCAAGGCAAGCTGGAATTACAGAGTGAATTCTGTCTCAAAGACAAAACAAAACAAAAGCAATTTAACTGAAGTGGTGTCACTAAATTGAAAAACTGAAAATACATTTTAACAGCAATTTACACTGAGGGAAATACGGTTCTGAGGTATTCTATGTAAACAGATATTATAAATAAAAAAATTTGCAAATGAGTATGCTAAAGAAATTTGTAGATATATAATTTTGATGATGATGTACCACCTGCATTTTGCTAACAATATTTCCCTAAAAATTAGCAACTCTATAGAGTTATATTTCATGATAAAATACTACTGACTGTCAGGGACAATAATTACATTGGCTGATTATGACATATGCCAGTTGTGATAATTCAGACAAACAAGTTGATAAATTCCTAAAATACCTAATTGAAGTTTTTTGTCAAAACAGAGGAATGTAAAGAAATAGCCTGAGCCTGCAATTCATGAATTAAAAGTTTTCTCCCAGGCAGGGTAGGTGGTGAAAATGAAGTAGGCCTAAGAAATATATGATCTTATAAAAATTCCACTGATTTCCTCACAGAGCTAACCTAATTGTGATAAACCTAATATGCCAAGCAATAATACAAACTCCAACATAAATTGTTCCTTACCACCTTGAGATTAATATAAACCTAGCTTGAACCTAACCACCACCAGTGCTAACCCTAACCTAATCCTGGCTCCTAATTGTGGGTTGCCCTTTTCCCACCAGCCTCCCTGTCCATGCTAGCCCCTCTCCACACATCCAGACCCCTCCTTACTTGCTGAACCTCACACTCATGCTGCTTAGCATGAGGGATGCCTAGGACAGGCTTGGCGGGAAGGTGATGCCTGGAATTGGTGAGGCTGGAGTGGGCTTGCCGGAAGGTGAGGCCTAGCATGAGCTTGGCAGGAAGGTAAGGCCTGGGGTTGGTGAAGCCTGGGAAAGACTTGGCAGGAAGGTAATGTCTGGGGTTGGTGAGGCTGGGGCAGGGGTTTAGTGGGAAAATGAGGCTTGGGGTTTGTACAGCTGGGGTAGGCTTAGAGGGAAGGTGAGGATTGGGACTTGAGAGGCCTAGCACGGACTTGGTGGGAAAGTGAGGTCTAGGATTGGTGAGGCCTGGGACAGGTTTAACAGGAAAGTGAGGCCTGGGGTTTGTGCAGCTGGGGTGGGCTTGTTGGGAATGTGAGGCCTGGGACTGGTGAAGCCTGGCACCAGCGTGGCAGGAAGATGAGGCCTGGCAGTGGTGAGGGCAAAGGGGGCTTGGTGGGTAGGTGAGGCATGGGGTTGGTGAGGCCGGCAGGTGCTCACACCTCAACCTGACCTAAGGAGGAGGACCGAGGTCATGATAGGAGGCCTCTCACCTGCTGTGGAGAGAGATGAAGCAGCACTCTGTGATGACCCCTCTAGAAGGCCCTCTGCTGGACATAAAGCATGGCTGACTGCAGTGCTATCATCAGGAGGCTGGAAGGATCCAGAAAGGAGGGTGTGCAGCTGGTAAGGTCATGGGAGGGGGCAGAGTCTGGCTACAGGATGAGGAGGGGCATGGCCAGGCTCCTCAGCTGTGGGTGCCCTGGGGCAGGTCATGGGAGGGGTGAGGCCACAGCAGGGGGTGGGTTCATGAAGAGGAGGGGCATAGCCCAGGAGCACCAGGATTGGGCACAACAGGGAGAGTCACCAGAGGGGGGTGAGCCTGGCTACAGGATGAGGAGGGGCTTGGCCAGGCTCTTCAGTCTTGGGTATCCTGGGGCTGTCATGGGAGGGTTGGGGTTCAAGAAGAGAAGTGGTGTAGCCCAAGAGTGCTAGGATTGAGCACAACAGGGTAGCTTTCGGGAAGGGTTGGAGGTTGTTCACTGGAGAGGCATGGCCAGGACACCTCAGCTTTGGTGTCCTGGGGCTGGGTCATGGGAGGAGTGGGGCCAGTCACACCAGTAGGTGGGCCTGGGTTCAGGAGGAAGAGTTGCATAGCTCCAAAGCACCTGGATTGGGCACAACTTGGCAGGTCACTGCAGGGGTTGGAGCCAGGGCACCTCAGCTGTGGGTATCCTTGGGCTGTAATAAGAGGGGCGGGGCCTAGGTTCTGGAGGAGGAGCCATGTGGCAGGAGTAGGGCAGGATTGGGCTCACCAGGGTGAGTCACAGAAGAAATAGCCTGGTCTGGGCACCTGTCAGGTGTGGGCACCCTGGGGCCAGTCACAGTAGTGTCCATCACTGAGCCAGTGGCAATGCCCTACCAGCCTGGCCTTCTGAGCCCATTTGTCCCACTGGATAGAGGGTATAAAGAAGAGGAGCCTTGGTGCTGTCCATCCACAATGACAGTACCCAGAATTCTTGGCCTAACAGCCCACACCCAGGACTATAGTACCCAGAAAACTCTGCATGCCCCAATCAAGTACTACACTACCCAGAATCCTTGGTGTGACCCCCGCAGACTAAGGTACCCAGAAGATTATGCATGCCCACCACAGGCAGAACCCTTAGCCCACCCCTCCCCCATTATGGTACCTATAATCCTCAGTGCGACTCTTCCTACCAGAACTACAGTATCCAGAAACTTTTGCGTGTCACCCCCCATCATGGTTCACAGTATCCTCCCCAGGACACCATTTCCCCCATGACTATGGTACCTGGAAGGCTCGCTGTGCCTCCCACCACCACAAGGATCAAGGTACCTGTTGTCAGTGATTTGCAAGGGAATAGATTTAATTGGGGACACATGTAATTTATAGGATTAATTCATAATATTCACCCAAAAAGTCAAACGCAGAAGAGTGCAAAAGTTCTGTGTGCTACAGACATAAAGAATCCAGCCAAGGCATGGAGCCCAGAGCAATGTCCTGCACAATTCCAGCCAAAGGCCTAGAGCCCACAGACATGTCCTCCATGAATCTGCATCAGGGATCTGCACTGGAAAGCCCAAAATGTTAGTGGTGGATTTTAGAAAGTCTATGCTGGCCAGGTAAAAGAGCTGTTCCAGAAGGCTAAAGGATCTACACTGGAGCCAGGAAGTGACAGTCAAGGCAAAGACCAGAGCTCCCCCCACCCCCTCCACCAAGAGAACAGCAGCTATCCCCGGTAATGGCAAGGACTGACCTCCTTCTATCCGAAAAACAAGTCGTGGGGACAAGCTTCTCCAGGAAAAACAACAGCATGCACCTTCCCCTCCTATGCTCCTTTTGTGCCATTGGCAACAATCCTCAGGTGGGCCTTCCATGCCCAGAACCACACTGATTTAGTTCAGCTGCACATTCCACTTCAGTTAACCATTAGTCAATTAAACACAGTACCCAAAAGCCTCTGCATGCACACACCTGTACTGCAGTAGCCTTAACTATCACTCCCCCTCCCCCCCTCAGGATACCAGACAATTCCACATCTGGGACTACAGTACCCAGAAGCACACACACACACACACACACACACACACACACAAACACACACGTACTACAGTATCTTGACTACTCAGCATGCCTCCATGGGATTACAGGACTCAGTACTTTTGGCATGACCCACCCCCCAAGATTACATTATTTTGAATCATTAGTGTGGCCCATTACTATGGTAGGATCATTGCCCAGGGTCTAAGGTGTTTATAATAAACCTAGTCCTCAATGAGATATGCTAGGGAGTCTATCCCTTGGTCCAGTGACATGATCCTTTTCTAGGCCCTGGTTTCTATGTTTCTAAGAGCATTATAGATACATTAAGAACACTTGCCATTTCTGTGCTGCAGATTAAAAAATAATTGCCCCCAAAATTTCTTTGGACCTCAATCTTACCATTTTGCTATGCAAAACTTAATTTTCAGCCTGGTGTGGTTGTGCATGGCTGTAATCTCAACACTTGGGAGGCCAAGGCAGGAGATTTACCATGAGTTAGAATCCTGCCTGGGCTACATAAGTGAGTTGAAAGTCAGCCTGATCTAAATACTAAGATCTAGTCTCAAAAAAAAAAAATCAGTTGCACATGTTTTGTAATCCTGTATTTTAAGTCACAGTTAGGAAGACGTTTCCCTCAATGCTTTTTTTCCTACAGATTTTGTGACTTTATTTTTCATTTCTAGATCTCCCAGTGCTTGATTTTTGTATGGTTGTCTATAATGGCAGTACAAGTCCAGTTTTACCTTTTTCCTAGTTTCTATCAACTTCCCAAGTCAATTTTCTTTTAACACAGTTTTCACACTCTGATTTGTGGTTTTATTATTGACTTAAATGCAGTGCAATAAAGTATGTAATACACTATATATGCATATGTATTCATTTATATTTGTTCATAGGTTGATTTATAGAATTTTTTTTAAGACAGGGTCTCACTATGCAGTTCAAGCTGTCCTTGAGCTTATGATGAAGCCCAGGCTGGCCCTCAACTCACAGCAACCCTCCTGCCTCAGTCTCTCAAGTGCTGGGGATATAGGTGTGTGGCACCATGCCCAACTCTAGGAATTTTTTAACAGATTATCTAATGATGCAACAATACCATCATAATCTTTTTATTATGGAGGGTTGATAATATATTTTAGGGGTAGCTGGACCACAGTGACTTTGTATTTCAGGATTTTACTGAAATATATTTTATTTTTCTTTATAAACTGCTAATGGGTTCAACATGCACATCACAACTCATAATGAAATTTAATTTCCTTTTCAAAATATTAAATACTTGGTAGTGGGGAAGTTTTTAAAAGGTGGTTATGTCATGAATGGAACAATTTAGCCATAGATGAATAGCTTACTGAGTCATTTGTAAAGTGGAACTCAGAAAACCCAGTTTGTATGCACTTCTGCCTTGGGACTCTGCAGAGAATCCCCACCAGGAAGATGGTGGTCTCCACACCAGATGGGGGCCCTTGATCTTGGACCTCCAGAACCCCAGGCTGAATAAACCTTTATTCAGTACAAATTATCCAGTCAGAGGTATAGAGTTATAGTAACAGAAAAGACCTTAACTCATGGAGCATATAAATAGACTTCTTTACCTCCAGAAAAAATTAAATCTGTTGACTTTTGTTGGAATCACATTAAAATCATAACTTTTTAACATGATAGGTTAATTCTATTATTTAATATGTAAGGACATTTAATGTCATCTGATTGTATATGTCAGGAGTGAAGAAGAAAGTATCCTCACAAGGATTTTAAATGCCAGCTCTACATAAATTGTGGAAATGCAGTCACACAATGTCGAATCCCTGGGGGGAATTCTCAAGAATGTGATCACCTGGATGTTCCCAGATACTTGGAACTGTACATACACAACATGGAGTTAGTAAGTGGTGTTTTTTTACAATTGTGCCTGGACTAGAACATCACCTGCAGAGACACCCCCGACATAAATAAATGTTTAATGAATGTTTTATACCTTACTCTACATGACATAGTTGCTAACTAAAATCACAGTAAGAAAAATTTGTAAGTAAATCAAGCTATGATTTTCCATCCCAATCTCACACTGAATTCTATATTAAAGATTGAGCCAAAATAAATGAGTACAGAGCAAACAGCTGGCCATATGTATAGTAGACAGGAATGGAAACACTTCACATTACTAGAACTGGATACAATTGCGATGTGTTAAGGTCTTGGGCAGCTTGTGGCCATGCATGAATGTGGTCCTCTCTACTCCCTGGTCCTCCAGCTCTTAGCAGGGTAAATACTCACACCACCTCCTCTGGGAAGCCCTCCCTCCTCACACAATGTAATTTGTACCCTATCTCTATGTTGTCCTCTATCCCAATAACATGGTCTACTTTATTCAAAATACCTATCTAATGTCAAAGTGTCTTTTGGAGCAGAGGGGCACTTTGATCTGTTTTTAAATTTTCCCACAGAAAAATAAGGTCCATAAAGTCAGGGAAGGACATGAAGTTTAAAAGAAAAGCCCTCTAGGGGCCAGGGATTTAGCTCAGTGATTCCACCACCTGCCTCACAGGTGCAAGGTCCTGATTTCAATCCCCCATACCAAAAAAAGCAATTGGAAAAGAAAAGCCCTCTAGTATGAACATTTTTCCTTACTAGGCCTACCACCAGCTGCACTTCTGTCAGTACGTCCAGGCACTTTCTAGAGGGAGGATGCTAAGGTAACCCAGAGATTCACCTTAGGACCAATGGAGCCTGGTGTAGAATGGGTTCCAGCTCTGGAAGCCCTCAATGATGATATTTTCAGGCTGAACTCTGAGAGACTGGTACTGGCCATCAGCTCTGGATGACTGGAGGAGATACTGTTGCCAGTCATGTGCCTCCTGAGAATTTTTCTAAGAATTCCTGTGTTGGGACCACTGGCCAGACTAGCCTGGGATGTCCACAGAGTGGAAATGAGGGTCTGAGGCCCCTTCAATCAGATCCTTGTATCTGCCTAAGGAATAATGAGCCTAAACCTTTCTGTCATTTTTATATGAACTATTTTCTTTTTTGAGATAGGGTCTCACTCTGCAGTTCAGGCTGGTCTTGACCTCACTCCATAGCCCAGGCTGACCTCTAACTCACAGTGATCCTCCTGCTTCAACCTCCTGACTTCTGGGATTGCAGATATGCACCACTACACTGACATGACAAAAATAAATGTCTGTTCTAATCATTTCAGTTGAATCCTTATAAAAGGCATATCAATGGTGAACAAGTGAAAGGCCATGTGAAGATATGGCTAGGTGTCAGATATCTTCAAGTCAGAGAGGACACAGGAGAAATTCTATAAGCAGCTTTTGCTTGGATTTCATCCCTCAAATCTTTAAGAAAATAAATTCTAAAACCCAAGTCTTTAATATTTTTGTCAGAATTACCAAAACAATATACTATACATTGTTGGACTATGTTTTATTATTTCCTCTAATGTTTTACAATGTAAATCCTTAATTTACCACAGTATACTTAGAATAGTATAGACTGATAAGAAATAAGAAATTTTCAGTGTAATTTTCCAATTATTAACTCTGAGTATAACCAAATTCAAATCCCAACCCAAAACATAACTCTAACCCAAATTCTAAAATTTATTCACTCTCTAACCCCTAATCCTCACTCTCAACCTCACTTTAACCTCAAACCCTAATTCTCTTCACAAAACTAAACATATCAATCATGTTGGCTTCATAAAACTAATTTTTTCCATGTGAATAACCCTGTTTAGACTTCAAAAAGACAAGCAACATACTGAATAACTTCTCTACAAAAAGCATATCTGAGAACAATTTTGTATTCAAAATACACAAATAATTCTTAATGTCAAAAACTATGACTCCAATAAAAAGTGGTACATGTCTGAACAGATACCAGACCAATGACAACATAATGATGGCAGATAGTTCATGGTACAATTCAATAGTGTTCCTGTACACCAATCATAAATCCACTTAGCCAGAAATCAAGAAACAATCCCATTCATGATAGCTTAAGAAAATACCTGGAAATTGGCCAAAGCAAGTAAAAATCCTCTATAACAGGCTGAGGATTTAGCTCAGTGGTTCTGCCGCCTACCTCAAGAGCGCAAGGTCTGGATTTACATCCCCGGTACCAAAAACAAAGAAACAAACAAACAAACAAAAATCTATGATAGTGTCAAAGAAAAGAGAGATTGAAGAGGAGATTATAAACCGGAAATACATTCCCTGTTTCTAGATACACAGAAATAATATTGTCAAAATGATGACACTCCACAAATGATATACATGTTTAATGCAATTCTAATCAGCATTTTTCTCAGAACTACAACACACACTCCTTTAATTTAAAAGGAATAGGGGCTGGGGATTTAGCTCAGTGGTTTCGCTGCCTGTTGCACAAGTGCGAGGACCCAAGTTCGATACGCGGTACCAAAAACAAATTCAAATTTTTAAAAATAAAAGGAATCAGCAGAGATTGGAGACACTAAAGCACCCCCGAGCAACAAGAGCAAAGAAGGAAGCATTACAATCCCAGATTTAAAGTTATATGAGAAAGGTACAGTGATGAAAACATCATGGTGAAGGAACAAAAAGAGACATGTTGATCTACACAATAAAGTTCAGAATCAAGAAACAACCAGGGCCGGGGATTTAGCTCAGTGGTTCTGCTGCCTGCCTCAAAAGCACAAAGTCCCAAGTTCAATCCCCAGTACCAAAAACATAAAACAAACAAAAAACCCCAGGCACTTTTACCCACATGAGTTTGGAGAAAAGGAGCCAAAGCAATACACTGGAGAAAAGACAGCCTCTTCAACAAATGATGCTGGGAAAACTGGTGATCCCTATGCAGGTTAGATCCAGACCCATATCTCGCATGCCTTGTAATAAAATCAAGTCAACATGGATTA